AGTTTACAGTTCTTGTTCTTCACGATTATAATCGGTTTGTTTTGTTCTTCCGCCGCATTGCATGATGTGTTTTATTGTAGAATACAGCATGTGTTGAAATGGTTAGTAGATGAGCTGTAGTCGTCCCAGGGGATTGAGATGCGTGCAAATGAAAATTATAGAACGTGTTTTGTTTTATCATGTGTTTGATTGTTCGAAGTCGCCCGGAACTTGCGTATTAGATCATATCCCAACAAATTTGATAAGCCGACATTGCAGAGAAAAGAGGTTCCGCTTGTTGTTTGTGTTGTCAATTTGTTTTATTCCCGCTTCTTGGTTCAATTGGAGATGAAATTTGGATTTCCAGTGTAGCTCGTTTTCAAGTTTAGACGCAAATCATGCACAGACAGTTTTCTATGGTGCAGTATTGTTTTGTTTTCAGATTGTTTTCAGATTAGTTGTTCAGCATATTTGTGATGTAGCAAATGTTCAATCATAGTAGTTTAACGTAACGTTTTTGTTGATGGTTTCTGTCAGATTACAGAACGCAAATCATTAATTAAATACATAGTTTAATTTGTATTGATGTATTCGAATCTCGATGTGCATATATTGTCAGTTTTTTTGTTAAAAACATTGTTTTGTTTAAGGAAGGCAACCCACGAAATCAAAATACGATGTTGTATTAGTCCGACAACGTTGAATAGCAAGAAACAGTTGAGACACAATAGTGATAATATGTTACGATGTGCTTCTCAATTCCGGCACACGTTGTATGACAGTCATGAAGATTATTTCCGTAGTGTTTCGGTTCAGTGTATCCGTAAGACAGTGTGTGATATGGCTCATTTTCCAGGTAGCAATAAGCGTTTCACTTTAGATTATTGTGCCAAGCGCTTTCAGGGCGTTCATGATGGAAACAAGGGGAGTCGCGATGCCAAAGCTGATATAAGAACGTCGAACAGAAGCGTAATCAAGATCCCAGGAATTTAGAAACTGACGATTTCATTTACAGGTGTGTTATTCATTGTTTATCCTGGATTATTGCGCGCACTTTTTCGAATTTGATTAAAAGGCAGCATTGGAGCATAATCAGCTTTGGATTGCAGGAGATTGATTATGCGGGTCCGAAGCGTGGACGGAAGAGGCAGCACGAGGACGTTGATTTGGTGTTGCGGGATGTGATTAGCCGTTTAAATTTTCGTATCCCCGCTGTTGATTATCATTTGGTGGCGTTACATTTGTGCCCTGAAGATACGTTAAATAATAGTTTGATGCTTGATTATTCCTCATCTTGTGCTGTAGTGTCTCAACACCAGTATCATGATGTCACACGTGTTAATGGCGCAAAGTGGAACATTGTGGCACCTGGATTTGAAAGGGCATCTGAATTGTTGAAGGCTATTATATTAACATTGTGGATTTTCACGAGGTCGACAGATTTAATTGAGTTAGCTATATCAGAATCTGATGAGAGTATTCCTTGCGTAGAAGATTACATGGAGCATTTGGAGAATTTGTTTATTGAACATTGCCAGGGCGAGAATGATTGGAAGAAACGTATGCTTCCGCGATCGCGCGATTATAGTATGAATACGTCATCGTTGGACGGTTCTGGCGATCGTTTTATGTTGCGTGCTGCTCCAGTTGTATATAATGTTATTCTAGGTCACGCTCCACGTCATCCTATTCAGCTTGCGAAATTTTATTGAAGAGGATTAAAAATTGTGGTCATTGTCTTTGTCAGCATGCCATTTGGACGCTTTCATTATTGGGATTAGCCGGCGCCATCAATTGCGACAGTTGGAATGAATTGAAACACGTAACTTCGAGGCGAAATACGTTAGCATTGTTCCGGCGATTTGATGCAGATTGGAGGGTAAAGAAACGTGGGTTTCGTGGCAGATCTGAGACTTCAAATGGTGGCGACATGCATGTGTTTAGTAATCCATTTCGTCAGTTAGAACGGAGGATTGCCGATAAAGATGCAGGCGAATTAATGGTGAAAGTTTTCAAGATGTACAAGACATATTTAGACGAGTTTTCGAAGTACGAATTTTGCTGCAAGTTTACAGCTGTTGACGAGCATGGGATGGAACTGGAGGAGCGCAACTATTCCAAGATATTTTTTGAGTCTGAAGTGGCGTTTTTGAAGGATTATTTGACGTTTGCCTGTAACTGTTGTATGCACGAGAGATGTTGGAAGGATTTTTTTTTCGCGTTTTCTGTATGCAATGCGAATGTGATGTTGATTGCGTTGCGCGTTTCAAAATAAGCCTGGGATCTAAATCGAGATCCGATCAGAGAATATTTATTGAGATGCCTCAAACTGTCAAGATCCAGACGCCAGTGCGGATTCTGGCGACACAGACGTTGACTAAATCGAGATATTACAGAATTCGAATAAGATAGATCAGAGTCAAATCGGAAATTGCCGTTCCGTTCGTTTCGGTAGATATGCGTTGCGCACAATTCAGATGAGGATCCCGAAATTCTCGAATTGCCTTAATTTGAAGTTTTTCGGCGAGAACCGTTTCGCGCAGAATTCAGATTTTTCGAGTTGCCGTAACACGAAATTTTCGAATCGCTTTAATTTTCAGTGTTCGAGATGCCTTATTTCAGAAAGTCTGAAATTCTGGACTGATGTATTGTTTCACGAGTTTTTTTTTTTTTTTATTTTGAATTGAACCCGCATGTTTTTATTATTTTGGTCTAGATGTTTTTTTCCTCTCTCTCCAGAGTTTCGAAATCTTCGAGTTTTCGAGGTTAATGAAAAGGTTTTTTTGAAATTGGAAAATTAGATCGCGTTGAATCTTTTTTTTGAAGCGAGAACCGCAGTGATTTCAATGTAGTTGTTGACGTGATTTTCGTTTTTGCCATCATTCGAGGTGTAAAGATTGATTTATTTCAATGCGATTATATTTTTCAATTATGCACCAGGCAGAGACTATGTTCGAGGTCTCGCGCCATACTACCGCAGAGAAGCGTTTCTGCATCAGTAAATTGACAGCGAGTTCTCCATCCGAGAGTCCGCGCAGCAACAAGCATCCCAGCAATTGGAGGGAACGTTTTCGACACTTACCGTTAAAATGTTTGCAGAATGGAATGTTTGATGTTGAAATCCATTAGACGGTGGAAGTTGTTGCTGGTTTGGGTTTCCAATTCGTTTTCGAGAGCTTACGTGTAGGTTTCCGCGTGATCGAGCGTTTCGTTTTGAGAGTTATATTTTCCAGAGTACTTGGCAGGTTAAATCCGAAGTTTCTTTTGTTGGACACCATTTTAGATGCGTTAACATGACCGTTTCAGGCATAGACGACATTGTGTGAGATTCGGTGCACTATGCGACGCGTCTGGATCAGATGCAGTAGTTCTGAGCTTTTTGTTTGCATTTCGATTTTTTTGTTCGTATGCTGCACCATCCTACACACTCGTATTCAGTATTTGATTATGTTTGTTTTTGTTTGAGTCGTTTCGAGGTGAATGTGGTTTGCCCTGTTCTTTTTTGCACCGATTTTGTTTCATGCATGGCGTGTTACATGGCATGTTTCTTGACACAGTTATGGCAGCCTACATTGCACTTTGAGAGTGTCAAAAACAATTTGCGCATATATGCGCAAATGGTTTGTCTGCGGGCTATAGTGGACTTACAGGGCTCAAGCTAAGACAGATCTGAAGTGCAGTATTTTTCCCGTTCGCTAATGGTTCCATGGTTGGAGATTGCTTGAACCATTCACTTACAATGAAAATCGAGACGTAAACCAATACCGACATATCCATTGATTATATTTGTTATGTTTGTGTTATTGCCCAGATTGCTTCACCGTCAGCCATCAGTCAGCCTGCAGTTTCGGCCTCGGCCCCAGCCTGCACCTTGAGCCTGCCTCAGCCTCAGCCTCAGCCTCGGTCTGCCCTCAGCCTGCCGAGCCCCAGCCTCGGCTTGGTTCAGCCTCAACCTTAGTTTTCCTTCGGCCTCGGCCTCAGCCTCCGCCTGCCTCAGCTTCAGCTTGCGCCAGCCTCAATCTCACCCTCAGCCCCAGCTTGCCTCAACCTCAGCCTTAGGCTGCGTCAGACTCAGCCTCGGCCCCAGCCTCAGCCTCAGCCCAGCCCGTATCAGCCTCAGCCTCACCCTCGGTGTGCCTCAGCAGCAGTCGGCATCAGCCGCAGCCTCATCAGCCGCAGCCTTCCTCAACATCAGCCCCCGCTTCAGCCTGCTTCTGCCTCGGCCCGTTTCAGCCGCGGCTTCAGCCTGCCTCAGCCTCAGCCTGCCTCGCCCTGAGCCTCAGCCTCAACCTGCCGCAGCATCAGCGCGCCTCAGCCTCGGCCTCAGCCTGCCTCAGCCTCAGCCTCGGCCTCAGCTCCTCCTCGTCCTTCTCCTCCTCCTCGTCCTCCTCCTCCTTCTCCTCTTCTTCCTCCTCCTCCTCCGCCTCCTCCTCGTCCATCTCCTTCCCCCCCCCTCTCCGTCTGCTTTTTCTTCTTCGCTTCGTCCGTCTCTTTCGCCCAAACATAACCCCTGAGCCTTGAGCCATAATCTCTGAGCCGTAGTTCCCATCGTTAAGCGCTATCCCTTAAGCCCTGAGCCGAACCCGTAAACCCCGAACCCTGCGCCACGAACCGTAAGCCGTAAGCATGCAAGGTCTGACCCCTAGCCCTAACCCCTGAATCCATACTGCTGAACCCTAAGCCCCAAGGCCTGAGCTCCGAACCTTACGTCTTTAGCCCTAAGCCCTCAACTTCAACGCGGTTTCATAGCCATTTGGCTGCGGTGATTGCGGCGAGGCGCTGCTCTGGCACGCGGCTCTTCCGCCCAGGGCCACGACCGCAGTGATGGAGGGCGCTGATCCCTTCGGTGAGGACATGGGCTTGGGGGTTGGCGGGCTGCTTCCGCCGGCTGCGCCAGCGGGCGCGGGCCGCGGCCGCGGCGCGGGCCGCGGCCGCGGCGAGGGTCGCGGCGGCGGCGGCGGCCGCCGTGGCGGGCAGAAGGCGTCCGCGGCCGGTGGCGGCGATCGGCGCGTGGCTGCTGGATGCTGCGAGTTCAAGAACAAAGGCGCTCGGTGGTGCGCGCTCCACAAGAGGGGGGCGCAGTGCGTCGAGTACCAGCGAGACCACAGGAAGGACATCACAGATGAGGAGCGGAAGGCGTTCGAAGTGCTGTGGGCGCGGGACGCAGGGGCAGGGGAGTACGTCGTCAAAGTCTGCGCGCTTTGCGCGTCCCCACCAGCGCATCCAAGAACGACGGCTCGACAAATCGAGGTGCTGTCGCGGCGCGTTCGCGGAGACATCTCGAAGCCATTTGGGCGTTCTTTGCGGGCAGTCTTGGGGCATGTTCTTTTTTTCCTTATCGGGGTTCCTTCGGTATTTCTGACTGATCTTTCGAGGCCGTCCTGCTCTTGCGACGCCCCAAGGGGAAGCCGATGTTAATTTCGGGCGCCTAGTCGATTATATGCGGCAGCGGGCGTTGCAGGAGATGCCCCAAACAACTCCGTCGGTGTTGTTTGGGGCGCTCTTTAGCTTGGCGGCCTCCCTTCCCAGGCCCCAGGGGCGGGGTTGGAGGGGGGGGGGGTTGGAGGAAGTGAGGGCGGAAAGTTTCGCAAGCCACCTGCGCCCGCGTGGTCGGTGGGATTCCTCAAGGACAATCCGCCTGAGCTCAAGCGGAAGAACCTCATCGATTTTGCGCAGTTCGTCCGAGTGCGCGGCGAGAAGGCGTACAAGAGCAGAACGGAGGCGGACGCCCCGATGACCCACGCGGCCTTCCTCATCTGGGCGGTTCAGGTGCAGGGCTTTTCGAGTGAGGAGGCTGACGATTGGTGGCAAGAGCTGAAGAACGACCGCAACATCGACAGGGATAGCAATGGTCCTCGCGGGCGGTTTCAATTGTACATCCCCAGCGTGGAGAGGCGCATAGTGCGAGGCCGTGAACAATACGAAGACAACCAAGCTGTCGAAGGCAACAACAAGAACAAGAAGCCGCCAGAGGAGTACCGCGCCATGCTGGAACGAAACGTTCTTCGGCAAGGTGTGTCTTTCGGTGACGGTTTCTTGTCGATGAGTTCGAAGGGCGCCATCGTTGGCATGAAGCGGCAGATGGACGAGGAGGCCATCGGCGTCGACGAGGGTGACGGCAACAAGCGGGGCAGGGCTAGAAAGAGAACGGCCGCTTTCGATGCCGCGGGCGGCGAGGATATATCATCGGCCAAGACGAAGGCTTTCGCGAGGTATGAGAAGGAGGTCGGAGTCGCTTCTGCCAAGCTCTTGGATGCCACGAAGAAGGGTAAGTCGGCGGCTTCAACGTTGCTGGAGCACCGAGTCACGCTCGGGTGCTGCAGTTCAAGCACGAGGTTCGCTGGCCACGTTTGATTTCCACTCGCCTCCCTCGCGCCCCCCACCTTCACGCGTGCGGTTCTAGAGGGCGCTCTGGGCTACTTCGCATCCAGCGCTTCGAGCGAAGTTGGCCTTGCCTCCCTGGAGCTCGTCGCGGTGGGGATGGCGGTGGTTGCGGTCCTGGGGTGTGGGTAGAGGTTCGCTCGTGGCCTGATCGAGGTCGCGCGACGCCTTTCGGGTGCGGACGTGGGCCTGGTCATCGCCAAGTGGAGTTCTCGTGGATCTGGCGATGCGGCCAGCGCGAGCCGCGTGAGCGAGGCCGAGCTTTCGACGGAGAGGGTGGCCGAGATACAGGGCATGACAACGCGCGATTTCTTGCAGGCGGAGGAATTCCAGAGGTTCGCGTTCTGGGCGCCGGACCAGCTGCAGGAGTTCCAGCAGTGCGATCTGCTCGACTCGCCCATGGACGAGCTGGATTTGGCCAGCCTCTTCGAGATGTCTGGGCCAGCCTTCCGCGAGTACACGTCGAAGGTCGAGGCGGTGCTAGCGGTCGCCAGGATGACCGCAGCAGGCATTGCCAAGACGGCAGCGGAGATGGCAGCCCACATCAGGTCCAAAGCGGGCCAGGCGCAAAAGGGGCGGCGCAAGAAGGGGCAGGAGGCGGCGAGGGCAGAGATTGCTGCCATCAGGCAGCGGGCTCAGGAAGCGGCTCGCGCCGTCGCTAGCGCGCGGGCGCGAGGCAGGAGCGGCCCGACCCGGTCGATCTTCACGGCGGAGCACGCGCTCGCGGAGATGGTGGAGGCGGTGAAGTGGACGGGCCAGTTCGACGTGGACACGCCTTCCGCGCTCGAGCTTCCAGACGCAGTGCAGAGGGCCTTGGCCGACGCGGACTTCTTGCAGACATCAGCCGTGTTTGCAGCGCAATGCAAGAGGCCAGGGCTTAGAGAACGCGGGCACCTTCTGCGCCCTGCCTGCCGCCCCCCCCCCCCCTCGCCTCGCCACCTGGTTCTGACTTGACAGAATCGGGGGTGGTGGGTTCGACGGGGGATGTGGGGGCGGGGGCAGGGGGCGTCGGCCCCGCTGTTCTTTGGGCGCTCCAGGATCGAGTCGGTGGCCAGCACGGGCCTCGGGCAGTCCCAGCTTACCGACAAGTGCAAGCAGGCCGTCTCGGCCGCCATGGTGTCTATGGCTCCCCTGGGCGCGAAGCTTGATCTGTCCGTGGCGTCTATTCCAGGTGGCGACCAGTTCGAGGCGCAGTCGTGGCTGTTCGGATTGTCGCCGCAGATGCGTCGGGTGGTCTTCACGCCGAACTACGCGGCGTGCTTCAAGGTGTTGCTTGCGGGGGCGAGCGCCTCCTGATCGAGGTCGATTTCATGCTGAAGGCGGTTCCGGAAGTGTTCCCAGGCGTGGCTGCGGAGCAGGAGTTGACGGAGTCGGTCAGCAAGCTCACCAACATCAGGCCCCTCGTCGACGCGGGGGTGAGGATGTGGCGGCAGACGTTGCAGCCTGGGGCGGCGTTGTGCATCCCCATGGGTTTCATTTGCGTGGAGGTGGCTTCGGAGCAGCGGCAGGTCCACTACGGCGTGAGGAAGAGTTGGTTCACGCACACCGCGGCGAGAATCAAGCACTACTTGCAGATCTTGGGCATGATGAAGATCGGTCCTGCAGGAGACGGCCGCATGGAGAACATCCTCAGGGCCATGAGGGGCGCTGCTGCAGCAGCCAGGTCGGCGGCGCCCGAGCCGCTGACGCCTGTGAAGAAGGAGCAGTGGGACGTTATGTCCGCCAAGCTCGGCGAGCTTGTCGACTTGACGGCCGCGGAGCCCATCTCCGTTGCCGACGACTACTTGTGATGATTGCGCGGGGCTCTCGGGGCAGGCAGGGTCAGCATTCGTGGGCCTGTTGGGGATCCGACCTCAGGGTCGCGACGAGTCCTCTAGCAGGTGTTTTTGTTCGCTGACCGTGTCTTTGAAAGAGCATTGAAGGTGCTCAGTGCAAGGTGAGCGGCGCGAGTACTAGTGCGGTCTGTGCGCAGTCGCCTGGGCGAGTACGGCCGAGCCCTGTAGGTTCCGTGTGCGCGCTGCGACGTACAGAATTGCTCGACGCGAGGCGTCGACCGCCTGACTGGCCACGTTGGCTACCGCGCGCAATCGAGATTTGGATGGCGCGGGGCTTGCAGCACGCCAGAAAATACCAGTTGCGTGCTTTTCTGGCCGTCGTCTCAACGAGTTCCGATCGAAGGCGCCATCGGCGATTTATTGCGGCACGCTGCTTGCTCAAGGTGGCCCAAGGAATCTCGTGGCGCATTTCGGGTCGTCCATCAGAGTCTGAGCCTCTCGGTGTTATTGGAGCCATTTTGTTTTTTGTGTGTTTCTCTCTTTTTTCTTGTTCTCGGGGTCCTTCGAGGATTCTCTCGGGGCCGCGTCGGCGGTCTCGGGGCGCTCGTGGCGCGCGCGGTGCCGCCGGAGAATTCGAGGGCCAGGAAACATCTCGATGCCACATCGGGTATTTACTTCGCGGGCTACGCTGGCTGACTGAGTTTAGGCTAGCGTCAAGCCTAAAGCTTACGCCCTGACCACTAAGCCATGAACTCTAACCCCTAAGGTCTGCACCCAAAGGCCTGGGCCCCGAGGCCTAAGCCCCGAGCCGTGCGCTTCAAGCCCTGAACCCCAACCCCTAGGCCCCGAACCGTAAACTCAAGCCCTGAGCCCGAAGCTCACAGCTCTCAGCCCCGAACCCTAAACCCGAAGCCCCGAGCCCTAAACCCTGGGCCCGAAGCTCTAAGCTTCTTGCCTTATGCCTTAACCCGTGAGCTTTGAACCCTAAGCCTTAAGCCCTAGCCCCATAATCCCTGGGTCTTACCCCCCTTAGCCCGAAGTCCCGAGCCCTCGGCCCCGAACCCCAAGCTCCGAACCCTAATCCCGGAGCCTGGGCCTCCAATCCCTGGGCCCTAACCCCCAAGCCCAGAACCCTGCGCCCTAGCCCTAAGCCCTCGGGCCCTAACCCAGCCCTCCGCCGCAAGCCCTGAACCCTGAGCCTTGAGCCCCGAACCCTGAGCCCCGAACCCTGGGCCGTAAGCCCAGAGCCTGGAGCATAAGCCCTAAGCACTAAGCCTTAAGCCCTCAGCCCCGAACCCGAAGCCCGAAGCTCGAAACCTTCTGCCCTAAGCCCTGAGGCCCGAACCCTAACCCCGAAGCCCCGACGCCTAAACCCTAGCCCCTAATAGCCCTAAGTTCGAAACCTTGAGCCCGAACCCCTAAGCCCTGGACCCTGAGCCCGATCCCCGAAGCTCCGAAACCGAACCCCGAAGCCCGAAGCCCCCAAGCCCTAAGCCCCGAGCCCTAAGCCAGCCTTGACCCCTATGCCCCGACTCCTAGCCCCTAAGCCCTGAACCCAAAGGCCTACGCCCTGAACCCTAAGCCCCGAACCTTAAATTCCAAGTCTTCAACCCTTAGCCTTAACCCCTAACCCCTAATCCGTAAGCTCTGAACCCAAAGACCACATCCCCAACCCTTCAGCTCCAAGCTCTAAGCCTTAAGCTCTAAGCTCGAGGCTCAAAGCCCTGAGACTGAACACCTAAGCCCTGCGCCCTAAGCCGAAAGCCTTGAGCCCTTGCCCTTAATCCCGAAGCCCGAAGCCCAAAGCCCTAATCCTTAAGCCCCGAACCCAAAGCCCGAAACCCCGAACCCTAAGCCCTCAGCCCTAAGCCCCAAGCCCCAAGCCCTGAACCCTAAGCCCGAAGCCCTAACCCCTAATCCCTAAGCCCTCTGCCTTGGGCCCCAACCCCTAATCCCTAAGCCACAAGCCCGAAGCCCGAAGCCACAAGCCCCGAACCCGATCCCCCAAGGTCCGAACCCTAACCCCTTCGGCCAGCTCTAGTTCACCCATGCTCCCTTCTCTTACCCTCCTCGTGCGGCCTGCCCTCGTCGCGCTTGTCTTGTTTTTTTCTTCCTCTCGCTCTTCCCCTGCGCCCCCTCCCGCTTCCACGTGCGAAAGCCTAGCAACGCATCAGTGCGGCGACCCTATTGCTTGGGCGTCATTTCCGAGTGTTTTTTCGCCGATCCCTTGCCGTAGATGATCTTCTGGCTCAAGGCGGCCAGTTTCTTCTGAATTCGCAGTGTTTGGGGATTTCGAAGCGAATCTAGCAAATTTCCGCGGGATTGGGGTGATCGAGCTTTCGAGGGGCCCAGGGGCTTCGATCGATCGGTTCAAGTTGCATTTGCATGGTTTCCTTTCGTTGAGTGCCGATTTAGAGAGGATTGCATTGGCCGAGCATTATTTACCCAAGTTCGGTAAAGTTTCGGCGCCTTCGTGTCAGATCGGTATATCCTCGTGACGCCGGCTCGCTTCTGGACTCATTCTGAGCGCTTCGCGTCTTTCAGTTTGCGGATTTTCCGAAGCAGCCTCGAAGCAGTCTGACCAGAAACTTAGTAGGCTCAAGCGTATCGGATCAAGCAGTGGCTCGCCAGGCAGACCCCTGACGCCGGCCGGCCCGCCCGCCCGCACGCACCAACCAATGTCCGCTGACGAGCCTGCCGCAGGGGTCGAACCCGCTGAGGACAGCGAGCCGCAGGGCCAGGGCTGCTGCGCGTCGTGCTACCTGGCCTGTTGCTGCTGCTGCGCCGGGGGGGAGCAGGAGCAGGACCTGAAAGCCCTGAGGCAGGAGAAGGCCTCCAAGGCGTTCACGAAGGACGGGGAGAATGACATCTCCAAGGGCCCCGCCGGCAACCGTCGCTGCACCGACTTCCCCTGTTGCATTATCTTCCTGGTGGCGATTGTGGGGTACGTGATTGTGACCCTCATGGGCTTTAAGGATGGCAACATCGACAGGCTGTACAAGCCACGGGATTTTGGGGGGAATTATTGCGGCGTCGAAACGCAGTGGAACAGCGGGATGGGGAACACGAAGTCGCTGGAGAACTACGAGTGGCTGACCATGACGATGAACGTGTCTGCAACCACGGATGCAATGTTTAAGCAGTTAATCTGTTCCAAGGCATCCCAGGACTTGCTGTACACCAAAATCGGCAGCGGCCTTAACTCAACAGAGTATGACATGTACATGTGCTTTTGCTGCGCAACCGCGTGCGAGTCCTGCTCCACCGCCATTGAGCAGGAAGACCCATCTGCAGTGGCAGGTGGCACCGCCAGCGATCTCGCGGACCTGACCGCTGCCAGGATGATAGAGTTCGCTGGTCTTGGGTCCGCTGACGTCACCGCCCTGTTCAGCGCTTATGGGAGTAATGGGGACATGTTCTCTACGGACATCATGAGTTCGGCGACAAAGTATCTCCATGACGTCTGCATGCAGACCTGCGACTCCAGCTACGAAAACATCGCGGCAGCCAACGGCAGCACCGAAGCATATGCCTTCCGGGAGTACACGTTTGAGCCCGTTCCAAACGATGAGCTGTATCTTGCGTGGCAACTCGTGAAGGCTGACACTGGCCCGCTGGGAATAGTTGCCAACTCTTCGTTCACCTTCAAGGCCTTCTCGGAAGTCGACTGCCCATACGACGCAGTATATTGCGTGCCCATGCCGGGCATCATCTTCGCGGAGACGGCGTTGAACTATTGCACGCTCGAGATAGCTGCTGAGGTGATCGGCCAGCTCGGAACCGCTCTGACCGACATCATGGTGAGCTCGGCGCTCACCGACTTCTCCAACGGCGCGACGGAGTCGCTGGGAGAGCAGTGGGGCGCCATTCAGGCGTCATGGGGTGCATTTGCGCTTACTGGTGTCTGCTCCTTTGTCATCGGCGTTTTGTTCCTCGTCCTCGTCCGCTTCTTCGTCGGCATCTGCGTCTGGCTCTCCATAGTCTTGATATTTTTCCTGCTCCTCGCCTTCTCCGGCCTTTGTTACGTGAAGAGCATCCAGTGCGCTGGCTCCACGCTGTTCGAGACGGGCCAGCAGACGGGCACCCAGGTGGTCACATTCGCAACGACCGCAGTCAACTCGGCTGTAACGGGCGAGAGTGTCAGCGAGGACCTCGGTGTTGATGGTAACACATACAGAGGGGTACAGTACTTGACAAAGTTCGGTACCGTGTGCCAGAATTGGATGTCCGACACTCCGCACAATCAAGACTACGACTCGGGGAACTACTCCGACCAGGGCATCGGTAACCACAATTATTGCCGCAATCCGTACATGCCCACAGATTACAACAAGGGCTCCACGATCTGGTGCTTCACCACGAACACGGACCTGCGCTGGCAGGAGTGTCTTCCCATTGGCCTGGACGCGCCCGTGTGTGCGGAGGGCTACGCTGTGAGCGGCCAGACTGGGAGGGACGTTCTGCTGTATGCCTGCTATGTCCTCCTCGGTCTGGCGGGGCTCTGGGTCATCGTCGTGCTGATCTTCTTCCCGAAGATCCTCCTGGCGATTCGCTGCACGAAGGTGGCAGCTCGCTTCCTCGCCTCGACGCCGAGCGTCCTCGTCGTGCCGATGGTGCAGTCCGTCTTCACGATCCTGTTGTGCATCGGCTGGGCGTGCGGCGCGGCGTTCCTCATCTCCCAAGTGCCCGACGGCTATACTCCGACGGCCTGGTACGCGGATTACAACACGGGGTGGGAGGCGTGCACCTACGACGGCTCTGGCGAACTCGGGTACCCTGTCAGCGAGATCTGGAGGGACGAGACCTGCGGAGGCCCGAACGGCGAGTGCTGGCGCTGCCAGCCGCCCCGGTACATGATCGACTACTACGTTGCCTACGTCTTCTTCGTCTACCTGTGGCTCAACGCCTACATCATCGCCGCTGGCCAGACCATCATCGCGGGCACCGTCGGCGTCTGGTTCTTCAACCAGCAGGATGGGGGCAGGGTCCGTGGCGCGCTCCGACTGTCCATGTGG